AGTTTGTGACTTCTCTCTGGGATTCAGTTGACATAAAGGCAAAATGAACTCCTTAAGAAATACATGAAGCTGACACAAAATGTCCAAAGTTGTGATTGTTTTTAGCTCCAATATGTTTCTTACTCGTGGACACAGTTAAACAATCTAATGTAGCACACAAGGATATACAGAAGATGCTTATTTTGTGGCACCAAAATTAGAAACAAGCAAAATCATTATAATATTGGTTGCTTTTTCTTCTAACAAATACATGTACCAAAAATGTATTCTTTTTTTTTATGACAATCTCTGTTTATTAAGTGTTTTTTTTTTTTTTTTTTACAAAATGACAAAGAGAAAACAAAAATAAATAATCAAAATAAAAAAAACTAAGGGCAATACAATTTTAGATAAGACGTTTTCAGGCATCATCGTCTTTCGTTTATTTCCATAAACCGGATACTAGGCCAGAAATAAACAGATCAGTATGCATATTCTACCCAATTTCTTATCCCTTCATTATCGTCTTCTCTTGCATACCCAGCTTTAGAGCCAGGCTCTCAAAAGAAAAACAAAACCCAAATATCATTCCCTCCACTTACTTCCCTCTCTGTTCTCCTAAGTCCGATACTTTCCATCCCATCAATATATACAGTCAATATATACAGTCGCACATTGCTATTTTCCATTCACCCTGGACCCAAGACCAGGATCCAGCTTCCAGTGAGTAGACCTCTCCTAGTTTCCGATTCGTCCAGCTGTTCGGTTCCCGAACCAAACATAAAATCCCACGAACCAAGTTTGTTCACATAGTTTTTTTAAAGGGTCCATAGTCTTTTGGTAAGAGGCTGGCCTGCAGGCCCCTCCAAGAACACGTGCTTCCCTTCATGAAATAAAGCCACTTTGATCCGGGTGGACTAGATTCCCAACACAAACCTTTGCCCTTGCTGCGAATACCTTTAAAACAGCTTTACATCCAGGTTCAGCAAGGATATAGGTCTGTAGCTACTACATGACTAAATATTTTCCTTCTTTCGGATGAATAGTAAAATATGCCGATAATGAGTCTGCATGAAACTCCCCCCCTCCTTGTGATAAAATTGAAAGCGTCTGCTAAACGTGGTATCAATGTTGTTCAAAATCTCTTATAGTACATTAAACTGAAGCCCTCTGGCCCAGGTGCTTTACCCAGTTTCATAGATTTTAAAGCTAAAAATAATTAATCTTGTGTAAATGTATCTGTGTTTTTTCCTACCTCTTTTAACAAATATAGGAAACTTTTTGTTTGTTGTAAAGTGCAAAAATGTCTAGCTTCTAGAAGTGTCACTAATTCCCGTCTTGCCCCCAGTAGTTCTGCATAAGTGTAATCTATTTGTGATGTTTTATGTCTAGCTTCAAGATTTCCAATTCTGGCTACTAACTCATGAATTTTCCCCTTTTTTAATTCTTTTTTTTTATGTGAGCCTTTTGAGATCAGTTGTCCTCTGGAGAAACATTTATGCACTTCCCATAAGGAAAGGGGAGAAAGCACCGGAGACTCATTCTCTATGAAGTATGTTTGTATGGATTGATTTATCTGATTATATACTTCCGGGTCTGTCAGTAAGGTTTTCTTTTTAACCTCCATGACCAATCTTGTTTCCTAAGAATTTGAAAACGTGTCGATTTGAAGTGGGTTATGGTCTGACCATATCATTGGAGATATGGCAGCTGATTTTACATCCATAAGATCTTCTTGTTGCACAAAAATATAATCTATTCTTGAAGAGGTCTTATGGCGTGGTGAGTAATACGTGTAATCTCACCTATCCGGGTGTATAGCCCTCCAACTGTCCGCCAATTTCAGTCCGATAAATGCCCTCCTTATCTGTCTCAATTTATGTTGGGATAAATTCCTTTTTCCCATTGTGAAATCTATTCTTGATTCCAAAGGTACATTCAAGGCTCCTCCAACTATAAGTTTTCCCTCTTTAAACTTTGCTAACTTCCCTATAAATGTTGATTGCCCAGAGTTAGGTGCATACATTATTTTATTATTATTATCGCCATTTATATAGCGCCAACAGATTCCGTAGCACTTTACAATATTATGAGAGGGGGGAATTTAACTATAAATAGGGCAATTTCAAGAAAATTTGCAGGAACGACAGGTTAAAGAGGACCGTGCTCAAACGAGCCTACTGTCTATATTGACGTGAAAGTATAACCTTTATCCATCATTGTGCCCTTAACAAATAGGTATTTCTCTTTTTTATCTGACAGTACCTGTGGGTCTTGCAAGTGTATATTGGAGAAATATAGGATTGCAACCCCTGCCTTTTTTGCATCACAATGGTTACTAAAGTACCTATTTGGGTATCTTTTGTCATATAGTTTTGGTGCATTACCTTCCTTAAAATGGGTCTCTTGCAAGAAAACCACTGTGCTACATGATGACCACAGATCTCTAAATAATTGAGATATTTTTTCTGGTATATTGAGCCCTTTACAGTTAACCGTTCTAATTCGTAATGGGAGAAAAAAAATATTCTTGAAGCAATTCAAAACCATTTTTTTTTTCCAAAACAATAACAGTTAGGTTATTGTCTTTTTGGTTTACATTAGTTTAAAAAAAATCTCTTTTCCTACCTAAATGTCAGAATTAATTGGTTTTCTTGTTTATTCTGTTCCATTAATCTGGCTTGCCAAAACAATGTATGATTACCTATTTCAAGAACCAAATTTGTGTTTGCTCTGACTAATTGACTTGAAAACTAATTTGCTCCAATATGGAAATTGTTCCTACATGACAAAATAAAAAGTAACAGCTAGATGTAAACATGGCTTTATGGTCTTTAGAAGGAGCTGAAAAAGAATTGTATTTAACTTGGGGTGAGAAAAAATGACCTACATAAAGGGGGAGGGTTTGCAGTGTGTAAATTATGCAAATATTGCTGAGCCAAATGGGATTTTAAAGAACGTGATATGAAAATTTTAATTGAACTAGGAGAAAGAATGGTTTGAAATTCTGTTGAGGAAGTAAGGAGAGTGGAGAAGGCTTGTCTAGTGATTCATTAATGGAATAGCAGGTGCGGTACACTATACCTCTGTTACTCTGACATGTATAATTAATCTAATAACCAAAACATCTGCTTGTGTTTTGAATAATGTCTGGTTTATTCACTTTATATGCACCTACCACAGATTTCTCCAGTGTCTGCAAATGTATCCGCAGTATGAAAGTAAACACAGACAGCTATAATACTACAGTCTCTGAAGGAATTCTATTTATTGTTTTATAGTCATACAGAATCCAGCCATACACACATTAAGAGAGGAAATGTATGTGATGTCAATACAGAGTAGAAAAGCATATACATTACAGGTGTCCCAGTACTCGAGCATAGATAATCTGTGGATAAAGCAGAATTATTTATATTTATTTTAATTTTCACATGCTATTTATATGCCATAGAGGTGTGAACTACTTAATAACAAGCAGTTCCAATTTTCTAATTAAATATGGTTAAATATTTAGCTTTCTACTGGGTGCATAGAGTTTAGATACAAAAAAGAAAAGCTTACAATTTTCTTCGTAAATTAGAAATCATATAGAGTTAGTAATATCTATACCGACTAATGATGTAACTATTTTTTAAAAATCTACATCATACTAAATGGAAAAACAGACACCATCATAAATAGAAGCCATTAGTCATTTCTTTTTTTTAAGCCTTTTGTTTCTGTTTAGTCACAAACGTCAGAGGAATAAATATTTCACATTAATCTTAATTATAGTGAGAACTGGATAAGAGGCAAAACAATTTTCAATGCAGAAACAATGAGTTGGTCTTCCATATATCCTTGTCCTCTGCAATATCTGCACTTAAAATTTATAAGATGATTTAATCATTAGTGAAATGAATATTGATTAATTAACTTAATTTGAAGAGTGTATTCAATTCTACCAGTTAGAAGTGATATATTTGAATGAAAACAGAGAGAATAATCCAAGTGTATGTAAAAAATAAACTATTTTTAAATATTAGAATATATATATATATATATATATATATATATAAAAAACAAGAGGGGGTTGGCTGCACTCACCCTAACATGCACAAATGGGGGTGCCGCTGGGGGCCAAATAACACAATACACAAGATCCAGCGCACTCACCTATCCACTAAACAGCAACTTCAATGTTGAAAGATTTTATTAGTTTTTTTAAAACACCTAATCTAGGCAAAAATAATGGGGGTTTAGTTACATTATATGATCATACATTGCATAAGCCTGCCACAACGTCAATGTACCCCATCTTTGGCAGGTCCTACACTAACAGCCTAATGTCTGCTCTTATGAGATTAATCTACTTGGGGAAAAAAAATCCATTTGGGGCTCTCTGCAGTACAAGGCTAAATAGGGCCCAGGGATGAGGCACCTGTGACAGGGAGGGGTGCAAAACCAAGGAGTTGGCTAGACTCCCAAATATATATATATATATATATATATATATATATATATAACAAGAGGGGGTTGGCTGCACTCACCCTAACATGCACAAATGGGGGTGCTGCTGGGGGCCAAATAATACAATACACAAGATCCAGCGCACTCACCTATCCACTAAACAGCAACTTCAATGTTGAAAGATTTTATTTGTTTTTTTAAAAACACCTAATCTAGGCAAAAATAATGGGGGTTTAGTTACATTATATGATCATACATTGCATAAGCCTGCCACAACGTCAATGTACCCCATCTTTGGCAGGTCCTACACTAACAGCCTAATGTCTGCTCTTATGAGATTAATCTACTTGGGGAAAAAAAATCCATTTGGGGCTCTCTGCAGTACAAGGCTAAATAGGGCCCAGGGATGAGGCACCTGTGACAGGGAGGGGTGCAAAACCAAGGAGTTGGCTAGACTCCCAAATATATATATATATATATATATATATATATATATATAACAAGAGGGGGTTGGCTGCACTCACCCTAACATGCACAAATGGGGGTGCCGCTGGGGGCCAAATAACACAATACACAAGATCCAGCGCACTCACCTATCCACTAAACAGCAACTTCAATGTTGAAAAATCTTTCAACATTGAAGTTGCTGTTTAGTGGATAGGTGACTGCGCTGGATCTTTAGTGGATAGGTGAGTGCGCTGGGATGAGGCACCTGTGACAGGGAGGGGTGCAAAACCAAGGAGTTGGCTAGACTCCCAAATATATATATATATATATATATATATATATATATATAAAACAAGAGGGGGTTGGCTGCACTCACCCTAACATGCACAAATGGGTGTGCCGTTGGGGGCCAAATAACACAATACACAAGATCCAGCGCACTCGCCTATCCACTAAACAGCAACTTCAATGTTGAAAGAACATTGAAGTTGCTGTTTAGTGGATAGGTGAGAGCGCTGGATCTTGTGTATTGTGTTATTTGGCCCCCACCGGCACCCCCATTTTTGCATGTTAGGGTGAGTGCAGCCAACCCCCTCTTGTTTTATATATATATATATATATATATATATATATATATATTTGGGAGTCTAGCCAACTACTTGGTTTTGCACCCCTCCATGTCACAGGTGCCTCATCCCAGGGCCCTATTTAGCCTTGTACTGCAGAGAGCCCCAAATGGAATTTTTTTCCCCAAGTAGGTTAATCTCATAAGAGCAGACATTAGGCTGTTAGTGTAGGACCTGCCAAAGATGGGGTACATTGACGTTGTGGCAGGCTTATGCAATGTATGATCATATAATGTAACTAAACCCCCATTATTTTTGCTTAGATTAGGTGTTTTTAAAAAAACAAATAAAATCTTTCAACATTGAAGCTGCTGTTTAGTGGATAGGTGAGTGCGCTGGATCTTGTGTATTATATATATATATATATATATACACGCCGGTCTTTTAAAAAAAAAAAATCAAACATTTTATTCACATGGAGATTAAAAAGATTAACATTTCAGTCTCTCCTGGGACTTTTCTCGGGATCAAAACAAACAATACACAAGTAACAGCCTGCCAGAATATATACATGTAAATAGATTGAATAATTGACTCACCCCAGCTGTCGTGCTTCACCTCCAGCTTCCCAGTGAGTGAACCGCGCATGCGTGTATGTACTCCACCCACTAGCGGCTGTGCTGACGTAATGATGTCTAATCTCTTACCATGGTGACACGGGATGCCATCCCAGGCATCTCTTTGACACCTTTAACTCTCTTCTTTGCCCTGTTGTGGCCACCCTCCCTCCCCTCTCAAACTAACCTTACAGCCGATAGTTTTGCATGCTACTTTACTGATAAGATTGAACAGCTACGGAACAAATTCTCCCCACCTTCTCCCCAGCTACTGAACAAGAGGTGGCTGCACTACTCCTTTCCTCTTGCCCCACCACTTGCCTGCCATCGATCCTGTCCCATCTCACCTTGGTCCCCTTCTATTTTCTCTTTATACTGCCTCTCTTGGCAAACTTATTACCTCTTTTGAATTCCACTACCACCTGTACACTGATGACACCCAGATATATCTCTCCTCCCCGGACCTCTCCCCTGCCGTCCTGCAACGTGTCACTGCTTGCCTTTTTTCCATCTCTGACTGGATGTCCTCCCTCTTTCTGAAACTCTGTTTCTCTAAAACTGAGCTCCTTGTCTTTCCTCCTCCTAATACTGATCCTCCTCTTTTGCTCTCCCTTCAAGTTAGTGGTATCCACATAAGTCCATCCTTGCAAGCGCACTGTCTTGGCGTCATACTTGATTCTAGCTTCACCTTTGAGCCTCACATCCAGTATGTTGCCAAATCTTGTAGATTCCATCTTAAAAACATAGCCCGCATCCGCCCCTTTCTTACGTAGGACGCTACCAAGGAGCTTGTCCGTGCTCTAGTAATTTCCTGCATTGATTATTGTAACCCTCTCCTAATTGGTCTTCCCAAAAATCATATTGCCCCACTAAAGTCTGTAATTAATGCTGTCGCCAGACTGATTTTTCTCTCTAGTCAGTACTCTCACACCTCACCCCTCTGTCAGTCCTTACATTGGCTTCCTGTATCCTATAGAAGTCAATTCAAAGTGCTAACCCATACCTATAAAGTACTGAACAATTCTAGCCCCTCATATCTCTTCACAGATGCATAGGTATGCCCCTTCTTGGTCTCTCCGCTCTGCCTGTGACATTTTCCTGTCCATTGCTCGCACCTGTACAGCCAACTCACGCTTGCAGGACTTCTCGCAGGCAGCTCCCTTCCTATGGAACAGCCTGCCTATCGCCATCAAACTCTCCCCTAGTCTTGCATCTTTTAAGAAGTGCCTTAAAACCCATCTCTTTAGGAAAACTTATGGCTTTCCAGAGTAACCTCTACCTTACATACCTGTCTCTTGCTCTCTCCTAAAGGGCAGCACTCTACTCTCTCCTTCAGCTCTGCTTCACTCCCACCTTATTTGATTGCCATTTCCTGTCCTAATGTGTTTTATACCCCACCCCCTATAGACTATAAACTCATTTGAGCAGGGTCCTCTTCAACCTATCATTCCTGTAAGTTTTCTTGTAATTGTTCTATTTATAGTTAAATCCCCCCTCTCATAATATTGTAAAGCGCTGCGGAATCTGTTGGCGCCATATAAATGGCAGTAATATTAATAATATTATTTATTTTATTAGCAATTTTTGCCTTCATTGACCTTCTCTTGAATGTCGACTATTCTTTTGCTTTGTTACTTTATGCATTAAGTCGGACTTCTCTTAGGATCAGTAATACACTTTTTTGCTATTCTCCTGTTTCACATACTCTGAAATGATATTTGCATGTTGGATCAGTAACATACCCTAACATGTATCTACATCTCAATGTCTATTATCTCAGTCATTTAGGTCATATTAGGCATTATTAATTATCTCCTATTAAATATATATATGACAATATTATGAAATCAATCCATTTTATCATAATTGGAAAAAGATCCAGGCATCAAATTAAAAGTTTATTGGCCTTTAACATGTATGACAAACAGCAGACTGATATAATTGATTTTATAATACTATTGTGCAATGCACATTGAATTTATAGAATGTAATGCTTTGTAGCTGATCAGATTTTACTTTTACAAGCATTGACTGGCAAGTTCTCAGCCCTGTCACACGTAAAACATTCAGACTGTAACCATTTAAAGGGATAATATAAGCACCAGTTTTGTTGTGTAGATCATGCCCCTGCAGTCTCAATTATCTCTCATTTAGGAGTTAAATCACTTTTGTTTCTGTTTAGGCAGTCCTAGTCACACCACCGCTGGCTGTGACTCACACAGTCTTACACTGTGCAGCACTGACATTAAGTGTCTCCACCCTCTTCATGGAGATACTGAACCTTCCTCATATGTATGCATTGATTCTATGAGGCAATGCTGACTGGCCAGGGTGGTGTTTGGCTCTGCCCCCGGTCTGCCTACTTGACTGAGATAATCAGAATTTACAATCCCAGCAAATCCAATGCTTTCCTTTGGGAAAGCATTGTGATTGGCTAAGATCATCATTTCTGATGATATCAGCCAAGGAGGCAGATCAGGGGCAGAGCCAGCACTAGCATACTGGAAAAAGGGTAAGGTTTTACTATATTTAGGAAGGAAAGGGGGGCTATATAGTGTTTTTAACACTATAGGATCAGGAATACATGTTTGTGTTCCTGACGATATATTGTTCCTGTAAAAGGAGATGCTGATTGACACAGTGTGGCATTTTGCCATGCTAATGCAATAGCCTCTCAAAAGCTTTCCTGTAGGAAAGCATTGGATTGGCTGAGATCATCAAGATTGATGATCTCAACCAAAGAGTTAGTCAGGTGGGCCAGCTGCAGGGAAACCAGAACAGCGAGGGAGAAAACGTAAAGTAAAATCACCTTTTCACTACACAGACAGGGAGGCCAAAAACCTAAACAGCCACACCAGCACTATAGTGGCAGGCATAGATCTACACTATAGTGTTCCTTTAACATAGCACTACGTAAGAAATTCTATATTGAACAATTGGTGCAATAAAATAAGTTTAAACATAAGATCTCTCTTTACAGGAAATGTGTAGGGTGACTGTGCTGGACACATGCAGGAAGTTGTCATTAACTCCTAAAAGGCAGAGAAGCGAGCACTTGTACTGCAGGGGCATAATCTATACACCAAAGCTACATCATTAAGTTAAAGTTGTTTTGGTGCTCATGGTGTCCCTGGAAATGTGTGAAAAGGATCAATGAGCCCACAAAGAAGATACTTATAGCCCTATTACACTTAAAACATTCAGATTGTAAACATTTAAAGGGTTTCTCCAACCTTTTTTCATAGTCCATAAAATAATGCCCTATTGGCATTATTCTGTATGCCCCACACCCTACAGGAGCCTCACCAAGGTCCAATCAAAGGCTTCTTATAAAAATTTGGGATTAGGAGCCTTGTAAACGTTCTAATCCCAAGTCATCTTCATGCTGCTCCAAAGTCCCTTTAACATTTTAATACTACCCCAGCCCTAAATCCCCACAAACCAGACTTTTACATTAGAAACATCTATATTGTATTTCTTAAAGCAGGGAAATTGTAAAATTTTGGCTGCAATTGCATTGTGCTATTGTTAAATTAATCTTATTGCAGTCATGCGATCCATTTAAAAACAGCAGGGATCCATTAGGCTCAATTCATGTGCCATAATGTTTTCACTCTATACAAAGAACTACAGAGGAATTACAAAAAACATTCCAAACACTATGCCCAATTCAGCATGCTCTAGTGATTATGGTGCCAGGAATGACCTGGCTCTCAATCCATTTTAAGTAGTCAAAAAGTTTTAGAATGTTTTGACTTCTTACCTTTGGTCCCTCAGGCTCTGCTTCCCACCTCTTACCTGCAGACAGACAAGCACGAAGTTCCTGTGTTTGAGCTTCCATCAACTTTTCTGAGCCAAGTGAGAGGTACAGTGTCAGCTGAAGGTGCTAAGACCAGAATGATGTAATGGTTATGGTGTCCTCGGATTGAAGAATTGAGTCAAATGCAATCATTTAAAATTTCAAAAGCATATGCGTTGTTCAGTGAAGGGGATCTTGCACAGTTATTCACTAGACAGGTGAAGGACTGAAAAATTGTAGCTTATACTAGCTTTA